ATTTTCCTTTTCCCACCTTTCCTTTTCCAAAGTCACGTGACCTTCAGTGGCAGCAGTACAGCATCATTGACACTGCCCTGCACTGCCCTGCACTGCCCTGCACTGCCCTGCACTGCCTTGCACAGCCTTGCACAGCCACCGGAGTTTTATTCCGCTTACTCATGAACAATGACTCGTTATTCCTTCTAACTCCTTGATTCATAATCCTGACCCACCTAAGTGGGTCGGTCTTACTCATCCTTGTGCCCTGCATGTGATTCTCTTGTACTATTCTTGGACCATGGATTTGTGTATATAAGACCCCTGTAGCTCGCCCTAAGTCCCCATTTCGACCTCTTGTGTCTTGGGGACTTAGGTGAGTAACCGTCTCTGTACTAGATACTATGCTAACTTGTGTCTTGGGGACTTAGTGTGTGACCTTGAGTCCATTAGGTGTCCATTGCGTCGTTGTCGACCTCGTGTCCAGTGACCTTGAGTCGAGCTCAGCTCCTCTTTATCTGCATATACTCTTGCCTATAGTAAGTGCCGACGACGCTGCCTTTCCCTCCAACTCTACCCAGTTGCTTGGACATTCCGACTGTCTAAGTGATTGGTAACCCCAACGGGTGTTCCCCTGCACGTCGCTCGTCACAATTATGAACAGGAGCGGGGCCACAACAAGGAGGAGGAGGACTGGTGGCAGGGCATAGATGGTGCATCCAGAGTCGCAGAGTTGCAGCCGGGGTCGGAATCGTCTTCATTGTAGTCTCCTACCCCCACGCCCACCTCAACACCTCCCCCGGTACCATCGCCGGCAGGCAGGAACACCATCCAGCACACTCGAGCAACCTGGAACAGGAGACTCCGGCGCCCCCGGCATCCTCAGGTGAGCAGTCCCACTACTGCGCAGCTCAACCGTTTCTCTTAGCAACCATCCCCCACACACAATTCGTGCAGGAGAGGATCGTCTGCTCTGGGGGGCCAACTCTATGGCCCCCACCTGTCTTGCTATGGGGGAAGCCTAGGGCTTGATCCACATTGCTAGTGCTATGGGCAAAGGCTCGCCCTACCTTGCAACTAGAGTTCTGGGGAGCGAGTTCCTTCCTCCTATCGGGCCAGAGTCTCCTTGCTATGCTGGCAGTTGGCTCATTGCTTGCTATCAGGCCGGGACAGCGCCAGTGGAACCAATTGCTTGGTGGAATCATGTTGGCCGTCCTCCACAAACTTCAGCGTGCACTGCCACACCGCATCCCCTTTCCCGGAAATCAACAAGCCAGAGGCCGAATCCCACACGTCGTGCTCCCCAGGATCCTGCGAGAGCAGGCAGGCAAGGACCTCGCCATATCCTGCCCACTCAATCCAAGCTCCTCTGAAGGGACACCCTGCCCGCAAACCAGGAGTGTTGGCTGACCTCAATTACTATGTGATCCCTCCTCAAATCGTGGAAATTTTCAAGAAAGGGTACCGTAAACACATCCTGCTTCACCACTTAACCAATACAGCATGCACCACCCAAGCCATTGACACCACCGCAAACCTGACGAACCTATGGTGTGTCGAGGCCGGCAGCCTCATCCCAGTCCAACAATCTCTCGCCGCAGAAGGGGAGCTGCGCCTCTCATTTGCAGAATGGCTTCAAGCTTGGCAACAGTTCCTTCAACTCATTGAAGATTACCTTCCAGGTGAGTATGAAGATTGGCACACGCATCACAACTTCATTAGGTGCTGCCCAGGAGAGAGCAGCAACAGTTGCTGGCCAGTCTGGCTGAGCTATGACATTGAAATCCAACACCGCCACCTCTGCACCCCAATTGACCCTCGGGAATTCCACAGAGCCATCTGGGACAATCTGTACATTGCACACCTCGGTCAGAAGGTCACGCAGATCACCCCTCAGCACGCACAGCTGGATCTCGCTCACAGACAGCAAGAGGCGACCGGCTCCTCAGGTGGCGCCAAAGCGCCTCGCTCATCTTGCGCATCCAGGTGTGTAGCTCCGTACCCCACCTTGCAATCCGCTCCCTCCTTTTGTATCTGTTTATTATACGGCTGCAACAACCACTGTACAAAGGCACGCTACGCAAAATCACTTGTCAACGGCAATCCCGTCTATATCACAAAATCAGCAAATGGTGGTTACCACAACTCGTCCGGACGACAACTCTGCTTCCATTTCAATATGCAGAGAGGTTGCTTGGCCTCTGGCACAAGGAGAACATTTGTGCTCCCTATGTGGAGATGCGGCTCACTCTGTGCACTATTGTGCCATTGTGGAAGCTGCCTGTGGTAACTTCATTCCGAGCAAGTGAGTGGGAGGTGTGTCTCGCCGAATACAATTTGTCCCATAGATTCGCAGACGTTCTGTTAGTCATTTAAGAGGGCTTTGATATGGGAGTCCCCTCGGCTGTACATATCACTTATACTCCCCCTAATCACAAATCAGCACTCTCTAATGCAATAGCAATCGACTCCTACATCATGAAAGAATGATCAGCCAGATGGTACACGGGCTCGTTCGACAAGTCAGGGCTCAAAGCTCTCATTGGACTGTTCCGGACCTCTCCTCCAGGCGCTGTTCTGAAGGCCAGCTCAGACGAGATGCGGATTATCCAAGACTTCTTGTTCCCTCGCAACGACCCTTCTAACCCTTCCCTCAATGCAGGTATCAACTCGGACGCCTTCCCATGTGAGTGAGGCACCTTCTCCAAGATGGCATCGCTCGTCATGGATGCGCCGCTGGGTGCTGAAATTGCGACCCTGGACGTTGACTCCACCTTCCTCCCATTTGCCCAGAGCAACAACCCCATTTTGTAGTACATTGAGGCGGCACCTTCTGGATAGACTTGTGCATGCCTTTTGGACTGGCGAGTTTCCCAGGCATCTGGGGTAGAGTTGCCGATTGTATGGCCACGGTTCACTCAGTGTACGGAGTCGCGGCCATAAAGAAGTGGGTTGACAATTTTGCTTTCCTTTGTCTCCCGTCCGGCATGACCTAAGTGGGTGCTGTCACTTATCCATAGCTTAGAAGACCTCTACACTCTTGCAGACCGCCTCGGCTGGCCATGGAAACGGTCCAAGATGCAGGATTTTGTAGCCTTATTCTGTTATCTTGGCTTTGAGTGGGACTTCAATGGGAAGTCGGTCTCGATCCCGCTTGAGAAACGGTCACGCTACGTTGCCAAGATTGAGCCATGGGTTCCGGGTGCAACGTTCACTTGACGAGAGGCCGAGCAGATCATGGGCACACTGGTTCATTGCAGCCTCACCATCCCCAATGGACACTCACACCTAGTGGTGATATCAAAATTTGTCACCTCCTTTCCGTCGACGAGCTCCTCCTTTGCCAAGCGCACACCCAACTCCTCCGTCTTTGAAGACATCACATATTGGTGGGATACTCTCTTGTCGGGCCCATTTGGCAGCCTGCTGTTTTGCCCGCTGGACATGACAGACCGCAACCTTTGGGTCGATGCATTGACGTCGTGGGGGGTCGGAGTAGTCCTTGATGGCAAATGGGATGTGTGGAAGCTCTCCGAAGGCTGGCAATTGGAAGCGCGCAGCATTGGCTGAGCAGAGATGATTGCCATCGAGCTTGGACTGCGGTGGGCAGTGCTTAAAGGGTTTCAATGGCTTACACCTGAGGCTCTGTTTGGACAACCAAGAAGTCATTGGGGCCCTTGAGGCAGGTTGTGCCTGGAACCTTGAACACAACCGGTGTCAGTGGACGGAAGCGTCCACTGCTGAAACTGACAACATAGGGCAGGAGTACATATCCAGTGGTGTGGGAGTTTGACACACAGGCGCATAACCAGCGTGGCTCCACTGCGGACTCACACACACTGTTACTACCAACCCCTATCGACATGCAACCCCACTCTACCAACACTTCGGCAGAGCCGCCAATGGGTCAGCATAGCAATTGACCACCACTCGTAGCTTACTGAACCAGCTCAGGGTATTCATGGCTGCCAGGCGACTTCATCGTCCCAGATAGTGCAGTGCAAGCTCCCGCACAAATGCTGTCTCCAGGGACCTGGAAAATGCGAGGGTCGGAGGTTACTACTAGGGACTGGGACGGTCTCATGCTATGCATGGTGGATGGGCGGATGTGTTGTGCGGTATATGGGAAGGTTCGCGGTCCTATTGCGATGGGACGCCGATTTGCGGTCTACGCCGTAGAACAGAAGACTCGGCGCTTCCACGGTGTTCGCTGGTATCCCCGTGGCTTTCCAGAGGAGACAGAAGTCATGATCCCCTTGCACGCAACCAATCTGCGGTTCTGGCAGCGGGTGTGGATTGCGCTCACTGGTGGATGGAGGACCATTGATGCCACAGAGGAGGAAGGCTTGGGGACAGCCTAGAGTGCTTCTTTTAGGGACGGACCCTCAAAGAATAGGGAGGGACCCTCAAGGAACAAGGGAGCACCCTCAAAGAAGGGGGAGAACCAGAAAATAGAGGGTACACCCTAGAAATTTGGGGTAACCACCCTAGTTTATGGCAATACAGAATAATAGGGTGGTACCCTGTTCTTTTAAGGGTGCAACCCTCTTCTGAATTTGAAATTAGTAGTAGTATATAAGGAGGCTGCCCCTCTTGTCCAACTGTATG